CCATTGTATGCATGATCATTTCCAAAGTCGGACCGTGGTAGTAGTACATTTCCAGACGTTTCGCCGGCATTGTCAGCGATTCTTGCCATTCTTAGCCGCCATACAACAACTCGTCAAAAAGACAAGTGAAGCCGATCCTTTGACCAAACGTGTGCTAAACAATTGTGATATCTGTTCTCCTACCACGGGCTATTCACCCATCCTATATTCTCGTATCATGTCTTCGCTATCACAATTTTTCCTTGCTTATTTGAATGTAGTGTGGTGTTCTCTTTTGAGGGGGTTTCATGAGAACCATCCACACTCCACGCTGGCGTTCTCATCCATCTTCACCCTTGTGCTGGGAATGCTGATCAGAGTCTGCCATATTGTTACGCAGTCCTCCTTCCCTAGGTCTTAAAAGAGTCTCGCTCTTGCACGTACGATCCGTCTGCTATCTCCCGGGTTCAAGTATTTCACTCGACTCCTGCCAACCCATTTATGCTACTTGAGGCGTTATTACCCATCCCCTGCGTCTGGGTGACTAATTCGAGGCTAAAGCCTCTGATTAAGTCTCATGATCAAGCCTTTGCTACATGGACCACGCCTGTGGTAACACAGGCCTACTGTCAGCCCACTAGCCCTAGTCTCCGCCTCATCTATCCTGTTTCTATCCTTAACACCAAGCCTATGACGTTCTATGCCCTAGTTCCTTGTGTACCAACCCACAAATGTTGTGGTACTGCTTGCTTTGATTATGTCCAATGTTGAACCACAGCGTTTGTAGGCTGGCAATCGGGAAATTATCATGCATACAATGGACTCCGTACTGGGTGCGTTCCGCTAAGTCTTCCTACCTATCTTTACTGTGTTAGGACTCTTTTTCCAGTCTTCTTGAGCTTCAAGTATACGAGGCAACCTGGAGGGCATTTGCAAGATGACTGGTACAATGAAACTACGCCAACACTGCTATCCTAACTAAAATAAATATTATGAATAGGTGGTTGGAAGTAGGCAGGATTAGCGAAAACCTTGCTTACTGTTTAAGCAAACTCTAAAGATTTAAAAGGCAGCAAGATGAACAAAAAGAGGACAATGTGATCAAGGATTCTATACGACGAAGAACAGAAAAAATCGTAAAGAAAAGGATTTTGAGGGATAATGTAAAATCAAGGCTAAACTTCTAGTGGGGGTAATACAGGGTTAAGCTGGTAGATGGCGGTAGAAGCCTACCAGTAAGCGTGAGTACCAGAACTTTATGATCTTGTTCGGGGTGACCACCGCCATATACGAGCTATAAAATGCTTGAACCAGATGAAGGAAATAATGTCTCGAGTATAATGGATTTGGGGGCGGGTACCAAATTGAATTGGTAAATAGTGAGATAAAAAATGGATCCTAAAGAGCACAAGGATTCTGTTCAAAGTTTATGAAGGTGGAAACGGCCAAGTCGGGTAGAGATTTCCTGCATTAAGAGGGAGAAGAGTAATCCAGCGGAATGTGTCTATACATCGGTGAATGTGACTAAATTACCATGTGCACATTCTAATGCAAGAAATTGTTGTGACTATTTGGGCAAATGACGCCTGACAAATTACATTTGACCGAGGTCCTGATATTACGATCATGTTGCGTAAACAAAGTCAGACTTTTTTTTGCGTATTATTTGGCTTTGCCTCTAGTCTGTATTTTCTTTGCCTTATTGTTCTGAAGGCTTAACAATAGTTCATAATCCTATTTGCAAACATCATCTTGAATATTCTGTAGATACGGTATCCTTTGCCTCAAGTTTTTTACTCTCGTAAAAACCTTTCCTTTATCTATTCACAAGTGTTTTTTCTTATAAAATCTCTTATTTCATCCTATCCTTCTATCTGAACTCTGTTTTCCTAATTCCTCCAGAGAGCTTTCTTTCAATTTACTTTTGCACATGGGCGTCTACGGGGAAGTTGCCTCATAAATTCCATCTTATTATCATTACCAGAGATCTGAAAATTATACAGGATTACGAAAAAAAGATATCTTGGATATAATCTAAGAATACTCTATAAGAATTCTTCATATTATGGGTTCGTAGGTCGAGAATAACATACAAGATTTTTAAGAATTTTGGCTCAGCTTAGGATGGCATGGGAGGGCTGCATTCTCTTTTTCCAGAGATGTTTGACATAGTTTAGAACAATTTAATTGATAATCTTATTACCACTTCGAACCATGGAATTGTTCTAAGACGACTTGGAAGAGTTTTGCATTCAGACTTCAGGGCTTATACTTATCACTGGACTCAAGCAAAGCTGTGAGTTCGCTTTGCACGTATTGTCCAAGTTACAGTTTGTTGGGCTGATGCTAAGCGCTTCATTCCGAACGAATTCTGGCCTTAAACCAACTGTTTTGATATGGGATGCGGATTATTTTGTAGGTTACAGGGCTATCAGAGTTCGATGTTCAATGCGATGTGATGCAGTATTAATGACCCTAATTAAATCCAA